GCACTTAAACGCTTCTCAAAATGAGCTATTGGTGGTTTTTGTTGTATCATTAACTTGCGGGGTACCTACTTTGCTCATTTCGCCTGTTTCCAGCTTAGTAAATATCTTTTCAACGGTGGATTTCCTTGACCCCAAATTCAACAGTATTATCCCCAAAAAAGCAATGCTTTATTTACACACGAATTGCTTTATGATCCATTTTTTTGTAAACTAACACAAGTTGCTTCACAAAAATGCTATATCTCATTAACTAGTAGTTATAATCCAACCAATAGAAATCATATAGATGGTAGTAGTAGTATTATCTATGTATCAGCCACAGTGAAGCGTGGAAGGGTCCTCTAGTTTTTAATAATTTCGACTCGTTGTTAGATCGTATTTGGTTTTAGGTGTCTAACGCTCAACCAAACCCCAAAGTGATCGGTGACGCCCGCAATAACAAGAACTTCACGTAAACCCCAGCAATTACGCAAATTGCTTCCACAATTACTTATGTTGCCCGCAAGCAAGCGATTGACACTCTTGGCGCTTGCAACACAGTTAATAAGCGTTTAAGAGCTTGGCAATGTAGCGCAGCGCCAAGGATTCCCAAGGCGTTTGGCGCGCTTACGAACAGCGCAGTTGCCCAAAATTACAGGAATGCTTTGAAAGCAACAAAAATATACACACAAATATAGCTAGTTAAGCAGCTAATTGCATCACGCGCTTGCCACATACACATACATACGAGCGCTGCGAGTGGCAACGACAATGACAGAGAAGTGTGTGCGCAAAACAGAGCGCAAGCCACTGCGGATGCGGATCCGGACGCGGATATGGTTGTGGCTGTGCGAAGATGCGAGCGCTCCTTGTTGCTGCCGCAACGGATGTGTCACGTTATTTATTGCAGTGCTGGGCGGAAGCGAACATGCATATTTACCAAGTGCATGTGTGTGTATAAGTGCGGCTGTGCGTGTGTTAGTGTCATGTGCCTCCCGCTGCAATTTATAACTTTTCATTCCACTTCACATACGCGCTCATCTGTTGCTGTCACGCGCGTGCTACTCGCCGATAAAAGCAGCGCACTGCTCGCAGCGGTGGCAGGCATGTGTGGCATTGTGCTATGCACTGTCTGTCTGTCCGACAAGTAAACTCAATTTAGACAGCATCGACGCGCCAGCTTCGCAAAGTCTCAGCGAAAAGGGCGGCGCACGTGTTCGCGAGGCGGGAGCCGAATGCAGGGTGAATGCATAAATGCTCCCCTCCAAACTGTATGCGAATGTGTGTGTGTGTGTGTGTGTTGGTGCACAGTGCTACCGATTTGATGCCATAACAGCGCGATAAGCGCATTGTCAATTTTAGACAACGTCAGGAAAATGTTTACTCAGTGTGATTATCAGCTGTACACACACACACCTTCGTACGAATATTTAGATGCTCTACAACAAACACCCGCACCTATATTTACAATGTTTGTGTTGTTTTTATTTTATTTATAATGTGTACACCAAGTATACCTCGCTGACGTCTGTCTAGCTGCTGCTGGAGATGATTAAGACGGTGGCAGCGCATCAACCCGAACTCACATCAGTGGAATTGGTGGCGGTCAGAGCTGCTAACCTTGTCGGAATTTTTACGGCGAGTTTCGGCGTTGATGGACTTTTATTTATATTATTTATGTGTAATAACACGTCACCGCTGCAATAAACTCAATTTAAGTTAAAGATTAGATAAAAATGAAATATTTAATAAATTAGTGCGAATTTTGAGATTAAAATTCAGTTGGCACTAGAATGGAAAAATTCTATTTTTTATTTATGAATATTGCAGAATTTTATATAAGCACGTTTTTTCTTTAATACTACAAATTCTTTGAGGACAAAATGCAATTTAATATCTGTTTGGAAAAGCTTAAAAGCGCTCCACAGAAATTCGTCGAAATAAGTGATGCTGAAAAACTTTAATACCAACAACTAACTACGTACAATTTCCTAGAAATTCTTTTAGTAGTATAAAATAATTTTTTTCTTGTCATTTGCCAACAATTGTTCATTAAATTCATTTAGATTTTTAGCAGCCACTGAAATTTCGAGCACTAATGGAACTGAATTTAGCACTGAGAAAGCAGCCTTAAAAAGTTATTTATTAAAAGCAAAAAATTAAATTAAAAATATTCCACAAATTTTTTGCGTTGAAAATGAAAGTAATATTAAAAACAAAAAACAAAACAAAAAAAAAAAAAACTTGAAATCTTTTTTAAGCTTAAACTTTTTTTTACAGAAAGTATAGTATCTATTTCATGTTTACGCTGCATATTAAACCCATGTTAAAGAAAGCATAAGAGCTCGAGCAAAACTTTTTTAAGTTTTAGTTTTTAAAAAAGCATAAAAGCTTTTGCAGAGAGTTTGATAACCGTTTCGTGTTTTGCGCTGAAAATTAAACACATTGAAAAAATATGAAAGCTCTAAAAAAGTTTTCTTAAGTTTACACCTTCTAAAATAGTTTCCGAAGCTTCTACCGAAGCTTCTACATCAATCATGTTTTGCGCTAATAATGAAAGTCATATTAAAAAAACTGAAAAGTTCGAACAAAGCTTTTTTAATCTTACATTTTCAAAATTACTTCCAAAAGCTTTAATCTAAAATACAGTAACGATTTCATGTTTTGCGCTGAAATGAAACTCATATTGGAATAAAGTAGAAAGTATCGAAAAAAGCTTTTTAAAGGATACACTTTCTCAAATATTTCCGAAGCATCTACAACAAATATACATAGTACCGAATTCTTGTTTTTTGCTGTAAATGAGCCTCACATCTAAAAGAAACAAAAAGCTCGAGCAACGCTTTTTTATGTTTACATTTTCTAAATTAGTTTTAACAGCTTTAACCTAAAGTATAGTAAAGATTTCATGTTTTGCGCTAACAACGAAACTCACATTGGAAAAAAGTAAAAGCTCCCAAAAAAACTTATACTTTCTAAAGTAGTTTCGAAAGCTTTTATAGAAATAATAGCATCGATATCACGTTTGGCGCTGGAAATGAGATTCATATCTAAAGGAAACTTAAAACCTCGCTCGAAGCTTTTTAAAGATTGCGCCTTTTTAAATGGTTTTCGAGGCTTTAACAGAAAAAATAGTATCGAATTTTCGAAAAAATGTTCAGTATTAAATATTAAACTATAAAAATGAAACCGAAATTGAAACTGGAAAAGTTTAAAAGCTTGAATAAGCTTAAACTTTCTAAAAGAGCTTTTTATGAATTTTATAAAAAAATCAACTCATTTTCGACATTATAAAAATTTGGTTGAAATAATGATTTTTGATTGAAGGCCCAAAATGCTTCAAGAAACTATTTTATTCACAACATTATATTTACCGAACCTAAAAATTGCCTGCTTATTGGAAATATTATGAGATATTTCACAGAAATTTTGAAAAGCAGCAAAAGTTCTGAGTAAATTTAAAGAAAGTCTTTCTAGAAGCTTTTAAAAGCTAAAACTTAAAGCTTTTTGGATTACTTTTTCGGAATGAATTTAACTAATTAAAGAATGTTTAAAAGTGCTAAATAACAGGTTTTTATTTTATAATTTCACGAAAATATTTTCTTAACCCAAATTGTCAAGTAAAATTTCTTGTGAAGCTCTCTGAATTAAACTCCATTATTTATTACACTGTTCTGTTATAATAAAAGATAAACAGTTTTTAAACTTTTTTAATTGTAATTTGTTATCGATATTAATTAGTGATATTAGCGATACGCAACCAATTGTTTATAACATCAATGCAAAGAACATGAAAAAAATTCAGAGCACACTTGGCTGAAAAACAGACTTCGTCTTTGAGAGCTTTCAGTAATGGCTCTCATAAAAAGCTCTATTAATCCCTATCCTATGGAGAGATATATTCTTTACATTTTAGAACCATTAAAAATTGTATTTAAAAAAAGCTTTTACTAAATTTAAAAGCTCTGGATCAAGAATTGTTCAGCTTCAAATATTTCTAACTTCTCTTCATTAAGCGAATTCGTTGCGGGCCTATAAATAAAAGGCAAACAACTCTCTTAATCAAGACGTGCACAAGAAAGTTGGCAACCCTGGCTCTTCTAGTATAACTCGTTTTGCTAATCTGAATAAATAAACAAAAAAAGATAAATAAAAACAGCAACAGCTTCCGCACTTCAGTATGCATCCATAAATACTTGTTGTGTGTGTGTATGCAAGCAAACCCCTCCATAAACAAATAGTTCTAAATCTAGCGGAAGACTAGTTTGTTTGGAATGCTTTTGGGATGATAGTGGTCCAAGCTACTGCATGATTAGGTCGGGAAGGGAAGAGTGCTCTCAATAAATTTTTTGTGCTTACTTTTCTGAATCTTGCCTAAGAAGTAAGGTAATTCTATATTTAAGCTCGGGAAATAATATTATTTGAGAGATTACTGCTATGATCGCTGCGTAGTAGAGTGCTTTTTAAACCCTGATACTTATTTTGTGACAATTAACAGATAATGTCCAGAGAGTTTTGAAAAAGATGAAAAAAATGTTGACTTGCTTTAACTAAGCACCTTTTTAGTTTTTACTTTTAGTCAGGAGATTCTCCTACTTTCCAAGTGAAGCGAGTGGGACGCTTTATAATATGTCTTTCCTAGTTAGGGGTGGCAAGCTCTTCATCTTAGACATTCCTAGCTAGTTACCGAGCGTTCGAAAACTTCATCGACAGAGGGAAGTGCCGATAATTAACCGTGAGACTAGTCCAAAGTCAGTCGGGAAAAGAACAGTGCCTAACGAGTTCTCTTTTTTTAATATTTCCCTACTTTTACTGAGGGGTTACCTTATATTACAGCTATATATAAATAGCGCAAATACTTGCAAATAGATTCATCTATGTACACATATAAATATGTATACGCCAAGTCACCTATCTATTTCCAACAGTCCAACAGTCTACTGCGAACAAACTGTCAAGTCGCTTAGGGCTTAGGTGATGGCGACAACGGACCAGCGTCGGCCGAGCAGTTCACTGTCTAACCGCAGCGTGGACGCGCGGCTCGTAGATTGTGGCTGATGCTGAACAAAAGTATACGGCTGGCAACATAACTGTAAACGGCGTGTCGAAGCGAACATACGCACCGTTACATACATTATAGAGCCACAACAGTTGCGGTGTGCAATTAATTGCAAAGTGTTGTGAATTTAATTAAAAACTTTCATAAGTTGCCAGTAAATGCGAGCAACAAGCAGAATAAGTGTAAGAAAGTCGACGACGGCAAGCAGTGCGCAGTCTGTGGCACACGTTTGCAAAAATAATACCGTCTAAGCGAATTCATCCGCAGCGCCAAACAAGCGAGTAATACAAATCAGCCAAGTGAAAGCCACAAATGGTCCGCAAAGCGGTCGTGTAATCGAAATATTCAAATTGCTAATGAGAGTTCGTGAAATAAGCGCCAAAGTTGCACCGCCGTCGTCGCTATGGTTATCGTGGACTCACCGCGCGTCGCGCAAAAATATCTTCGTCGCGTCTCGAAAGATTTCTCGACCGTGCGTCGTTTCAGTTCAGCGCCACAGCGTGCCGCAACGCCGCCACCAGCACCGCAGCCGTCCAGAAACTACCTCTCACCAGACGATGCACAGTCAGTTTCCTTTGAAGCGTGTGATTTCAATGACGTCGCAATCGGCAAAAACGAATCCTTTCGCGGCATACGACGGCGTCGTTACGCGCGCAAACGTTCCTCCGTCTCGTCGACGCTCACGCGTGTGCTCATACTGAATGTGCGTGATTTGCTGAAGGTGGCCGATATGCGGGACAAACAGAACGAGGTATGTAGGTGACTGCGTCAAGCCGCTTCCCACCCACACACGTTGTGTCACCCTCACTCAGTGTGTCGTAGTCCATCAATTTCCAACTTTCCAACTCGGCTCTAAGTGTTCACCGAGAGTGTAATTATAATTGGTTGATAGTGTGTTCTTGCTGGCAGCCAAGACATGCGGCGTGTACTCTGGCAGAAAGTGACGATTTTTTATCTTTCTGCTTTTCTCGCAATTTCTCAATTACCACTCAGTCAATGTTTGCGTTTTCATTGCCGTTATGCGCTCACTTGCCTGCCACTTGGTTGGTTTTGTTGTAATGCTTGTCTCTCGTTGCATTGCATATACTTATATTCTGCCTTGAATTCGCAGTTTGTAATGTCACTTCTTGATTGAGTTGCGCTCTTGGGCTTTGTTGTTGTTTGGCTGTCTCTTTAAAAGTTTTTCTGCCTCAGCTGGTTGGTCGTTTGTTGCAACTGCTGCCCGGTGCAACGCTGTTGCATGGCAAGTATGCAGATTACCTCGAGTAAATCTCAGCGGATGGCGGAATTATTTTTTGTGGAATCGTTTTTATAAGTCATTAGTCGCTAATTGCAGCGTAGAAGCTGGGAATGAAGATAAATGAACCCTCTGAGGCGCTGCTTATCCTGAGTGATTTTTTTTTAATTAGTGGTTATGAAGAAATATTTTATTAAAGTGAGAAAAGTTTTTAACCGGCTAATGAAAAGTGCATGAATTTCAAACTTTTAATTTCAACCAGACTTGAAGAAGGCGAGCTGCTGGTTGTTTTTGGTATTGTACTTCTTTGCTTCTACAGAAATCCGCACAACCTTCTATTTTTCCATTCTCTTATATTTCTTCTTACGTTGTTGAAGAGGTATATCCAACCTGTCGTTTTCTCTGAGGGTAACGCACCTCTACATCTAACAAATTTACAAGAGGTTTAATTTATATTCCCGCCAGTTCGGTGAGATGACTGAGGGTATGCGCTCTCAAGTGTCTAAGTCTTGACCTCCCAAACGCGGGACAGTCTGGTAAAATTCCCAGCCTTACAGCATGGACGCAAATAGGGCAATGTCCTGTTAAAATTCCCACTATCAGGGAGAGGCTTGCCTTACTGAGTTCAAGGCTGGTATCGCCGGCCTGCTATGTCAGTAGATGGTCATTTCTCTGAAGAAGGCTGCCCTTCTTCTACCTTAATGGCTGTAACCTTGGCTTGGAGAATACTGCAATAGTCAGGAAGTCAGCTTGAGGAGTTGATAAAAAGCTCCTGACAGTAAATCCTCCACTAACCCTAAAGAAGCTTACTGCCCTTCTCCTCTAACGGCTTCTCCTCACCCACAACTCTCTCGCCGGTATTTGGACAGAGAAGGAACCGCCAGAGTTCGGTTTGCAGACTCCGTTATCCTAGTGAACGGGTACGAATTCAAAGTGTGTGAGGATTTCCGAGTATTCAGATACGTGTTCTTTTAGGACCGCAAATCCTCTGAGTCTTATAGCAACTTGCGCACCATACACCTTCCGATTATGTCTATGGACTCTAGGCTCTTTGCTTGACTATGGTGTCGTAGAGCCAAAGGCCCACTTTCGGTAAGAGACCACACCTTTTGCAAATGGTATAAGGTAATCGATGCCATTTTGGATCTCTTTTCGAAATTTGGCTTCCATGAAAGCTTTCTATTCAGAATGAGTCCTTGATATTCCACTGTATCCGCCGGTTGCAGAGATACTCTTGCGTCAACTAGTACACGGTACTCAAGAACTTTCCTTTGACTATATTTGTAGCACTCCATCGTCTGCATAGGCATTTATCCGGCATCCTCGATTCTTAAGGTTTATATGCAGGTCGTTAAGGACCAGGATCCATAGAACTTATCACATTTCGTCGAGCACGTTCGTTGCCCCATTCCGTTTCAATCACTCTGTCGCACAAAACTGAAAATGAGGTGTTTGAGATTTGATTCAACCTCAAGACCGTCCAGCGAAGTTACGACTGCTTCCGGTAGGACGTTAATCTTAATGGCTTCCTAAGCATAGCAAGCAGGGCTGTATCCACAGACTTTCTTTTATAATAAGCAGTACCAGTTCATCAGACTCTTAAAAGTTTTTAGTAAGTAGGAGGAGAGGCTGATGGGCCTGAATTCTTAGGCCTTAAGGTGGCGGCCCTTATCAAACGTTGTAGACGTAAGATTAGATGTAGAAAAATACTGTTGGATAGTGCTTATGTGTATGAGAATTTTGGAACTTTAGTTTACATAGACCCAAGTAATAAATACTTTTTGAGAGTGATACTGACAGTCTTCAGACTTAATACTTAAAAGTAATCTTGTTCAAACTATCGAATCTTTTATATCTCAGAATAAATCGGAGTGGCCCTAAGTGGAAGACAGTGAGGGTTGCCGTCGTTTTCGATAAAATGTCGATATATGTACTCAAATAAAGGGTGGTATGGGTTGTCGAATTTATTTATTTGTATGATATCGGGTAAGGAAATTTTGAAAATTTTGCATAAAAGCCTGAACTAAGACCATGCTTAGAGTGACAACACTTCATTTTGCATTCTAAGTGTTCTCAAGCAGGAGTTTTTTCAGAGCCTGAGGTAACTTTTATTAATAAATTACTCCATTTTGACACAATTATAAAGTGAAAGAATTCGTCCGTTGTGGCGGTTCCTTAAATGAAACAATAGCCAATGAAAAGGCCACTCGATAATTGTGCAAATAAAAGTATTTTGATTTTGTTTGTCTAGCAAATTACTTAATTTGTGCAACAAATAAAAGAGCAACATTAAATAAGGCAATAAAACACCGTTAACTTTCGCTCTGTCGACTTTGCCAATAAATTGCTTATTTATGGGCTGTAAATAATGCAAACACAATTAAGTTGTGTTCCGGGATATAAAAGTCCAGCTACTGAGTTAAAAAAAAAAGTTCCGTTTCCAACTTTTTATGCACTTTCACGACTTTTTTCCCTAGGAAACTCTTCCGTTTTATGTCTGCCTGCGCGGAAAAATATATTTAAGTCTTCTATTTTTTGCAAGCATTTTCCTTTTTGCCCTTTTTTTGCGCGTGATAAAATTATCCCTCACTGCCTCAATCCGCAGCCATTAACCGTTAAAAACTGGTGGTGCACTCTCGCCCGCTCTCCGACTAGCTCGCTTTAAAGCACACACAGTTGGGACAAAGTAAATACGAGAAGGATACTAGTGATAGTACAAAGTGAATAGAGAAAAAATCAAATATTTGTATTTATTTGCTGTTTAAAGTAAAGAAAACACCAAGGTTTGGCGAGCAAGATGAGTTGTAATTCAATCAAAACTTATTTTTACTACAATACATAAAAAGCATTGAAAAATAATTTTCTCTCAACTCGCGTCTCCTGTGGGGGTTTTTTTTTTATTCGAATGGAAGGATGTGCCCTTAGACTTTTAGTTTGTAACTTAAATTTTTATTTATAAAGGTCGGTATTGGAGACTGATAAGCTTTTCCTTTCCCCAKCTAAACATGTCCTTTTTTACTGCACTGAGACGGGTGCGTATCCAAGTCGATGTTAGGACCTCGGAGCGTACGCTTGTCTAAAATACCGGAGACGTGTCTTCTGCCTATCACAACATGATCGATCGATATGGCTGGTGGCTTTTCGATTTCTTGAAAATTAGATTTCTAAAAAACCACGCATTCATCAAGCCGTTATGGAATATTTTGCTCATGAATTCCAACAGACAAGATCCGGCTTTGCTCGCATTTTATTCTTCCGCGCTTTATAATCAACCCCACTTGACTTGTAATTGATGTGAAATTTTAACTGAATTAAATTGAATTGAATTAATTTAAACTAAAAATAAATTTAATTAAATTAAGTCAATTTAAATCAAATTGAGTTGAATTTATTTAGTTTGAATTAGTTAAATTTGAACCCACACTGCACTAAATAAAACTGAATTTCCCATTCAACAACTTATTTTAGTTGAATACGAACTGATTTTATTTAATCTTTGCATGAAGGACGAATGATCGAAGTGTTGTAGTTAAAATGCAATAATTTCATTAGATCAAAATGTAATCACAAAAAATATTAATTTTGATTACCATTCATTTGAGTTCATTAAAAAAACTAAAATTCAACTCTCACAAATAGCAAYTAAGCAGCGATATCTTCGCCAATAAAGAAGGAATAGCCTCTTCGCACAGAAGTTTATTGTTAAGTTAACCGCCCTTTGCTCGATTAAAGCACTAATTTAAGCATACAAAATACAAATTTTACTTAACTGCATTCATACATAATAGAAATGAAATCTAGTTGTTACTGGTATGAGTCGAGTTGAACTGGCTTGCAACTGCAGGTTGACCAAATTGTAAATTTGCCTGCATTTAACCTTGCGGGTTGTTGTCCAGGTTGCAAATTTGTTTGTGTGCATGGATAAAATAGCAATCAGCTGTTAATTTTTAATAATCATAAAAAATACAAAATGAAGAATACAACCAAATATAACTGCTGATCCTTAATCGAGCGTAACAAGCGGTTTGTTGAATTATAATCTTAATCTACTGTATTAACTTGACAGTGCGAAAGGGCTATAAGAAATCGCCAGCAATATTACGTTTATTCTAGGACTCCATGTAAACAGTAGTTTGAGTAGGTGAATTCGCATGTTACCTAATGATAAAATTATTATTGTAAAATGATAAAAAATTGAATGTAAAAACTATACAAATTTTTTAATAATTAACACTTAATTGATAAAACTGATTGCGCCTAAAGCTAAACAATACCTATCCAAATACGTATGCGTGAAATGCGCTATTGAATTTTTTTTATTAAAAAAAATAAAAAAAAAAAAAAAAAAAAAAAAAAAAAAAAATAAAAAAAAAAAAAAAAAAAAAAAAAAAAAAAAAATTTCATTGGAACTAAGATATATGGAATAATATGTATATTTTCAAACAACCACAGTCAAAAAATTCCTAAATTGCTGAGGAGCTTGCAAAAATGTGTTTTAAGAAGTCTTCCAAATTTGCAATTATTTCCCTATAATATGATTTACAAAATATTTGTAATGCATATAAAAAAGATAAAAGAGAAATATTTCCCTAAACAAACTACTTTTTGCTTATGATTTATTCCGTTACTACCACTGCACTTAGCATTGCGAAAATTCCCACAGGCCTTCTTCTTGCGTGTGTCTGACAGGAGCAGTAATTCTGTCACTTTCCGGGAATAGTGTGCGCCTATTCGTGCCAATTCTTTTGTTTGCTCTTAATGCATTTAATTTGTATCATAAAATACGATACATATTTACATAATTATTCATTTATATTTGAGGAGAATGTAAGGTCCTCACCGAAGACTCATGCGATAGAAATATAGTTACAAATTCCACTTTATTTGTTTATTTTCTAGTAGAGTTATATTAAATTAAATAGAGCATAAAAGTCTAACACTATCATCTCAACAGAGTTATACAGTTTCGTTCGAAAAAAGTATGACAACACCTCAATCGCACACAATTTTATTTGTATTCGATTATATTGGTTGATTACACTTATATCAGTTGTTTCTCTATTCAATACTTTTCAAGTTTTGTATAATCAAAGGAAACTAATACTTTTACATATATCATAATTTGAAACTTTACTGTTGAAATTTAAGGTGTTTTTAAACGCGAACTTGTCTTCTATTCTCTCTCCAAGGAAATTGTTCCGATCGGATCACTATAGCATATAGTTGCCGTCTACAGAACGCATTGGCAGTAGAAATCCTGAAAATTATGGCTGCCCAGCGACCGGCAACTATTGAATATGTACAATGCCTGCCTCGAAGCCGTAATATTCCTTGAACTCTGGAAAAAACAACGGCTGCTGCTAATCAGTAAAAAGGAGATCCCAACTTGCCAGTAGCATACCGCGTACTAAGAATACATGATACAGCAGGAAAGCTCAATGAAAGGCTACTTAAAACCAGACTTGAAGCGGCTATAAACAAAGCTGGCGGATTTTCTCCTATACACAACGGCTTTAGATCCGGTAGATCAACTCTAAGAAAAAAATGCGGCATAAATACAAAAGAGTAGTGTTGCTGGCGACAAAAGCAGTAAATTACCTAGGCGTAAGACTGGACCCCAGACTAACCTTCGGTGTACAAATCCAGTATGCATGGCAGCAAAAATCACCTCCCAACTTAGCAGACTTATGGTGAGCATAGGGGCCCCCAAGCCAAGAAAAGATAAAGCCCCTAATATCGTCCTATAATAAGGAGCTGAGATATGGGCAGATATGATTAAAAAGGAAAAGCGGCGTAAGGTAGTGGCCAGAGTGCATCGCACCGCAGCACTCAGAGTTGAACCAGCCTACAGAACGGTGTCAGCTGATGCAGTATTAGTTATAAGCGGTAAAGTCACAATTGACCTTCTGGCATATGATATGAAAAAGCAGTGGGAGCTAAAGAAAACGTCTGAAAATAGCAAACGCGCAATAGAACAATGAAGAAAGATACAACAAGAACAACAGAGAAACGAAGATGGATGAATTAGAGTCGCGGCTGATGGACAACCAGATTAATAAAGGATCTAAGTCCTTGGGAACGCAGTTGTTATCTTCATTATCGAATACTTCAAAAAGTATGGAACGGGAAAGAGCCATCATGCCTATACAACGATCCGACAGAAGACGAGGTGGAACACACATGTTTTATGGTAACGAAACTTCATCGCCCTAGAAGACCTCGACCCAATAAACGCGAACAATTTAATCTGCGTCATGCTGGAGAGTGAAGCAAATTGGAGGATTATACAGAAATTATCAGATATTTTACTCTTCAGCACAAAGCGGGACCTGGAAGTAGGTGCGTAAATGTAAGTCTTTCAATGAGAAGAATGGAACGCCAGCTTGAAGTAATGCAAATGTGGCTCCTGGTTAGGCGGCAGTTCCTTAGAGGGGGGTATTTTAATGACATACAAGGGGCACATACCGTGCTGTATGCTGTGAAGACAGCACTACAAGATTGTCGAATCGTGCAATCAACGTTTTAATCTAAGTTAAGATCGTTGCAATATGCGTAAAGTACATTCTTCATATATATATATATTATTATTTTTTCTTTTTTTTTTTTTTTTTTTTTTTTTTTTTTTTTTTTTTTTTTTTTTTTTTTTTTTTTTTTTGAGAAAGTTGTTGGTACTCTTTGTTGGATATAAATAGAGGTAGATTGCGGTTAAGTAAACTCGACTGCCTGGAAACAGAGTTCTTATGCGAAAGTTGTAACAATATTGAGCGGCTGTTAACTTCGAGAGCACATATTTATTTATTTATAAATGTGAAAAAAAATGATACAATTATTTTTCACACGAAAAGAGGAGCACTGGCTGCCAGGACCTTCGGCTCGCTGGTGGAGCTATGGCTAGGTGACTAAAATTAAGTTCTATTGTTATTAGTAATATGATTTAATAAAGATTGCCAAGCTGCTGTTGAATGGCGATCAAATGAAAATCTCAACCCAAATGTAATCGTTATCAATAAATTTATATGTATGTTTGTATGTGTTGCTATATAAATAAATTGACGAATCTGAAAAAATTTGCGAGTCATAGACTCTGTTTTGCACTGTTTTTCGTGCTTATTATTTACAAATTTATTCAAACTCACGCTGTTGTTGTACCACCCCGTGGCATTTTGTTCAAATGGCGATCACGCATGTAAAATTCCAGTCTCCGTCTATATAATTCCAACTACAATTTTATTGTTTACTTGTAGAATAACAACAACAATAATAGTTTGATTATCGATTCAAGTTCAAATGGCACTGAAAAGTTCAAATTGCTGAGAAATAAAAGCAACAAAAATGTTTTTGTATTAAAAAAAAGAAATCACCGCTAAACACAAAATTTTCACTTTCCACGTCATTAAATCACAAAAACAACACTAGGAATAAAAAAAAAAATGGAAAAAATCACAAACCAAAAAATTAAAAAAAAAACACTAAAAAATCACAAAATATCAACAGACGAAAATCAGTGAACGTGGGCGCAGCTTCTGCGACACGAAGTGTCTAATGAAAAGCGCTTATATTTATCTGCTTCGTGTGTGTGTGTGTGTGTGTGGCATTAAGCTGTTATGTGTGTGCGATATATGTATGTATGCGTTTGTGGGTGTTGCAGCATTTTAGATAACTCCAGCCAAATGTTTTGCGACAATTCCATTAGCTTTGCACTTGACACTGTGAAATTAGCGCACTGACACACACACACACACACACGATCGCTCGTACGTTTTTATGCTTTTGTGTATGTCTGCGTGTGTGTTTGTTTATTGAAAATTGTAATTACACGCGCGCACACAAACAATTTTCAGTCTCCACATGAAGGTTGTACTTGTATAAATATTTGCTTGCACTGAAATTCCAAATACTCACTGATTATTCAAATGGAAATTGAGATAAATTAGTTTAATACAAATGAAATGGTGTTTCGCGCCGCATGTAATCGGAAATAAATGACTGAGAGTGCGCTAATTTTTTAAGTACATTTCTGAGCTTTTAATAACAATAGTTCGAAGGGATCTTTCGACAAAAGTTGCAATATTAGTTTAAAAAATATATTAAATAATTAATTAAAAAATATATGTTTTCCGGATTTTTTGCGGTTTGCGTTTTTTAAACATAAAAATTTAAAATAATTAAAGAGCAAATATTTTGTTTGCTGAAAACATATGTGGGAATATAAAAATGTTTTTGGTTTAAAAAAAATCTTTAAAACTTGTAAATTAATGATTTCAAAATATATATAAAACCATTTTTCTGCGATTTTTTTATTAATATTTCATTACAATACTTATATTTTTTAAATTTTTTCAATTATAATTTT